CCAAGTTTTACTAACCATCCACTATAAGCAGAATCCTCTGATCTCATATTTGTTGTAAGAGACAACTTTCTGAAACATCCCCAGACACTACAGTACTTTAAACTCATTTGTACTATGGCCAATCGCATAGCATGTGGTACAATACTGACACATTTTTTTGGTCAAAAATCCCCTCCAAGAAGGGGAACTTTCCCACCAAATGCAACATTCAAATTCATAATTCTCTTAGTAATCTGTCTATGGCGTTTATAGCATGACTGGATGCCATGGTGCATTCATCAATAATGAGAAGTTGGGCCTTTTTAATAGTTTTAGCAACTTCACTGTTTATATCAAGTCTAGAAATTGAAGTTTCATTTAATGGAATTGGTAATTTATATTGGGAATGAAAGGTCCTTCCACCGGGAAGTAAATTTGCAACAATTCCTGTAGATGCTGTGGGTAAAACAGTACCACCACGACCTCTAATATAATGTATTAAAACTTTATACAGATATGCAGGTGAATAGGATTCCTAGCTGGCAGGCCCCTGACAGCAAGCTGGCCACCTGTGGATTCCGTGAGAAATGGGGCTCCCTCCTCCCTCCTGTCAGGGTCAGGGATGCAGGAGAATGGGGTTCCTGGCTGGCAGGCCACTGACAGCAAGCTATCCAACAGCAAATTCTGTGAGGAATGGGTCTCCCTCCTCCCTACTGTCAGGGTCTGGTTTGAAGGCCGGCCATGCCCCCATGCTGGGCCAGACCCAGAATTCTACCATGCTGTGGCCTCAGTCTCAGCAACCCAGCACTGACTGCTGCTGGGCACTCCTGGTGCTCCGAGGGTGGGTTCTTCCTTCAGGCCTCACAGGAAACAGCTCAGGGAGGGCACAGTCCTTGGCAAGGAGACCCAGGACTCGGTGTGTCCATGTTCCGAGGGCCGGTTCCTGCCTCAAACCCCACCCTCGCGGGAAACAGCTCCGGGAGAGCACAGCCCTTGGCAAGGCGACCCAGGATTCAGTGCGTCCACGCTCCGAGGGCAGGTTCCTGCCTCAAACCTCGCCCTTGTGGGAAACAGATCAGAGAGGGCGCAGCCGTTGCCAAGGCGCCCCCTGCAGGACTGACTTCCTTCCGTTTAGTCGAGCCTTGGACGTGACGGGCATTATACCCAGGGTTTTTATATAAATAGATTGCCATTTCCCAGTACATTTTAATAACTTGAACAAAAGGACTGTCTTTGAATAACTTTCAATAAGCAAAGCATTTTGACTGATCCAAAGTGTCTTAAATATTTTGTTTAGAATATTATGAGTGTTGAGCAAAGATTCTCTGAGGCCTTACCACTCTCCTGACCAGTGTTCTTTGGGGACCTCTCGAGTGCTCACTTGCATCTAGCATTTTATAGCCAAACCTAACACACACGGATGTGGCCTCTGATATCATTATTTAGCAGAGTAGGTCCAAGCAGGAGGAATATCTGATAATCTGTGACTGCTGGAGACGGCAGTACAGTAGGTCCTCGGGTTACGTCAGAGATCCATTCCTACGGCGCGACGTAAAGCAATTTTCGCTGTAAGTCGGAACCTGCCTACATAAGCACCTACGTCACTCACATGGAGCACAAACACAGCAGTAATGAAGTGAAACAGTAAAAAAAAATTAAAAAAAAAAAGATAACAATTCCTGACCTTTACTTGTGGTAGATAATAAAAAACATAAATCACATATGTACATACATCGAAATGACGGAACATTTTTTTTTTAAATAAATGGGAGATGGCGATATAACCACAAAACAACGTGCATCGAGTCCGACATAACCCGAGGACTGCCTGTACTGTCAAAAGACTCAAAAGGGCTTTCCAGAGAGAAAAGACTTGTTTTAAACCAAGAGTTAAATTTAGTTGCTTCCTGAATGTGTTTCCCCAATCAACAGAACTTTTATACCATTGTTCCCTCTTAGCACCCACAGTTGGTGAAGGGTATTGCCATGAGAAGAAGTATAAGCAATTAGTAATGGCTTAGAAACTGTTAACACCACTTGGCATGCAGTAGTATATGGAATACCAGCAGCGAGCTCTCAGAACCTAAAACCCCAGCCATCACCAAATGGGTAGTTACTTTTCTTCTGTTGCCTCTCTGGGTCTGGGGATTAGTAGAAAACAAGGTATTTGAGGTTCTAGAACAGTGATGGTGAACCTATGACACGCGTGTCAGAGGTGACACGCAAACTCATTTTTTTGGTTGATTTTTCTTTGTTAAATGGCATTTAAATATATAAAATAAATATCAAAAATATAAGTCTTTGTTTTACTATGGTTGCAAATATCAAAAAATTTCTATATGTGACACGGCACCAGAGTTAAGTTAGGGTTTTTCAAAATGCTGACATGCCGAGCTCAAAAGGTTTGCCATCACTGTTCTAGAACATGAATGCCACAAGGCTAGATTGAGTAGCTATCCAAGCCACTTTTTGTGTAATGGCTGATCTAAGTTGGCCAATTTCTGAGGGCATACTAAAGAGAAAAGACTATAGTCTATTTTGCCATTAAACTGACCTTCTCATACTATATTCTCCTTCTTGTTAACTGCATTCAGAAGAGGAAAGTAAATAGGATAAAGTTTTTAAGAGCCTTTACCGCTCTGGGCTTCAATGTCCTCATCTGTAAAATGAAAGAATTATACTAGGTAAGCAAGTAACCTAACACTAACATTATATGAACCTAGGTTGTTTCCCCACATATTCCAGATAGTTTGCCTTATTCTGATCCTAACATTCGGGTAGTCGATCGAATTGGAAAAGTGTCCCCATCTATGCAATATCTGAATAACATTCAGTAAAACCTGCTTTGAGACTTATTTATGCCTTGGATCTGAAGCTGAGATAAAAATCACCTGTAGAAACTGCTCAGGAAGATAACTGTTTGCTGACTCCTTTTCCAACATAGACCCTGCTAGGCAAAAGGGCTTCATTTCCATGCCTTAGCACTGTTGACACTTTACTGATTCTCACTGTTATTCTCTCCCTGTTAGTTACTTCACTCCAAGGCAGGCTATCATCTCCCTGAGCTTAGGAATTCCAGGGAAACCACATACTGAATGACCAACCACCTCACTCCAGAGAGCTACCAGTAGAGGCAGTAAAAGGGGAGCAGTCAGAGGTAGAGGAATGGCAGGATCTGAGGTACTACTACCTGAACTGCTGGATGATAGCTGCCTTTGAAAAACTTAAAACATGGCCAGTTAAATTAAGCCTGATTTTGAACTACGCTGTTTGCCTTTACATAGGTGGTAAAAATCAAAGTTCAGCAAGATACACTCAATGACACTTAGGAAACTACCTTAGTAAAGAGGCATCTCTGCCGGAGTCTGCTAGTGATAGATGGAAACAATTTAGGAGTCGTTCTTAGCTTGACAGTCTTTTTTTTTCTTCACATGAAAAGCAGGTACAAACTTCTACACACAGCAAAACCAAATACAACAGAGCTCTATAGCTGTCTACAAAAAGCCATGCCAGCCTGGCTGGTGTTGCTCAGTGGTTGAGCGTCCACCATGAACAGTTCAATTCCTAGTCAGGGCACATGCCTGGGGTGCGGGCTTGATCCCCAGTAGGGGCTGTGCAGGAGGCAGCCGATTGATGTTTTTCATCATTGATGTTTCTCTCTCTCCCTATCCCTTCCTCTCTCTGAAATCAATAAAAACATATTAAAAAAAAAAAAAAAGCCATGCCAGATCTGATTCTTCTCCATATAATTAAGCTGGCTCCATAATTCTCCCTATAAGCACTACTAGCATTCAAAATTTACATTCAAAACTTCAAACCAATTACTCAGTTCCTTCTCTACCTATTAAAATGATTATGATCCCCCCTTTAGCTTAAGATAATTCTATAACAATGGTTTTCAAACTATATTCCAAGAAGCCCAGTTAAGAATGTGGTTTGGGAGGAAGGGACAGAGATGAGGTAGAACACCTCTCCCACAGCTGCTTTTACCTGCTTTTGTATGTTTGAAGACTCTACTGCTAAAAAAAAAAAAAGAAACTTAAAAAGCACTGGGGTAATAGACTAGACTATCATATACAGTGATATACACAATTACCAAGGTACTGTTTTGTTATATGACAATTATGACTAGTCAACCCTCAATGCCCAGGGCTAGCAGGAGATGAAGACAGTGTAGTAAACAAATGTAATTTACTGAAACCCTAATTTTAACCAGTGGTTTCAAACATTCATCTCCAACTGTTTTTTACCACAGCAAATAATTAATGAAGAGTTGAACTTCTGCTAAAATGTTCAGACAGTAACAGGGAAGCCAAAGTGAAAATAGATTGGATTATGTGAATCTAGATAGTTGGTCCCTATGCCTTTAGTTATTAATCATAACATCCTATATAATAAAACCCTAATATGCAAATCGACTGAATGGTGGAACGACCAGTCGCTATGATGTGCACTGACCAACAGGGGGCAGATGCTTAACACAGGAGCTGCCCCCAGCCCACAGGCCCCAACCAGCAGTGGCAGTGGGGGTTGGGGCCAGCGAGCAGGCGGCATCAGGCCACCAGCCAAGGCAGGTGCCAGCGCCGCCCCCCCCATCACCCCACCCGTCACCCTGCAGAGGGAGGAGACCAGCGGCACCAGGCCAGCCCATGTGGGTGCAAGGGGGCCCCAATCGCCCCACCAGTCACCCCACAGATGGGCCCTGACTGCCAGCCAGGCCTAGGGACCCTACCCGTGCATGAATTTCGTGCACCAGCCTCTAGCACTAAATAAACTGCAGAAAAGATTCTGCCAGATGCAGGATATAAATGGACATGTAGAGAAATCAACTCCCTCACAATGATAGGTAATTATGTTGTATTGGCCATAATCCCCAAGAGACAATAATAATCGCCAACCACCAAGCCACTTTAATTAATTCCTACTATAAGACTCTGAGTCAGAATCTGGGTCATTCTGCTCCAAGCATAACAGGAAGGGGAGAGCAGCCAAGAGGATGTGGGATCTGGTGCAAAACTCACCTGTGCAGAACTCCTTGCTCACATTGTGGGGCACTGTGATCCGTCGGTAGACTATGGGCTCTGACTCCAGGATGTTCTCATCGTGGCGGTACCGAGTAGGCCTTTCATTTGGGATACCCCTGGAACGGGTACCACTTCTCCTCTCATATGTATCAATCTCCTCAAACACAGCTGCCTTGTCAAATAGGGCTAGGTTCCCTTCAAAATCAAAATCTGTGTCTGGGATCTCTTCAATATCATCCCCAAAGCACTCGTCATCTTTATTCTTCATTTGGCCATTCTTTAAACCACTTTTCTTTGGAGTTGCCTGATTTGGGTGCCTGCTACTAGATGACCCTGGAGAAAAAAATAGGAACTAAATTCAGTGTGCCCACAGAAAAGTGCTCAGTGGAAGTAGAAAATGCATCAGTCCTTTGTGGAGAGCGTTACAGGAATCAAAGTGAAGATGGTAAGCTATTCTTCAATCATATTAAGTAGCACAAACTACCACAAATTTCATGAAAAATTAGATTTTATATATTACCCAAGTAATGGTGAATATAAAATAAGCAGTACTGCCCTGGCCGGTGTGGCTCAGTTGACTACAGCATAATACCGAATTCCTGGTCAGGACACATGCCCAGGTTACGGGTTCAATCCCTGGTCGGGGTGTGAACGAAAGACAGCCGCCAATCAATGTTTCTCTCTCTCTCTCTCCCTCTAGAATCAATGAAAAACGTATCTTTGGGAGAGAATTAAATAATAATAACAAAAGAAAATAAGTGGTACTCCTGGAAGTTTAAACCAGTTCTCTCTTCCGAAGGAAACTGGTAATGATAGGCTTTTAAAAAAAAATTTGTTGTTGTTGCAATCCTCACCTGAGGATATTCCCCCGCCCCATTGATTTTTAGAGAGTGGAATGGGGGGGGGGAGAGACACACACACACACACACACACACACACACACACACACACACACACACATTGGTGAGAGAAAGACACATTGATTGGTTGCCTTCTGCAGGCGCCCCAACCAGGCAGGGGATTGAACTTCCAATCCAGGTATGTGCCCTTGACAGGGAATCAAACCCACCACCCTTCAATACGCAGGATGACACTCCAACTACTGAGCAACAATGGCCAGGGCTTAATTTTTTAAAAATTCATTTGAGAGAGAGAGAGAGTAAAAAACATCAATGTGAGAGAAACTTGGTCAGTTGCCTCCTTAACATATCCTGTACCCTGACTAGGGATTAAACCCACAACATAGGTATGTGCCCTGATCAGAAATCAAAACTGCCACCTTTCTATGTACAGGATAATGCTCCAACCAACTGAACCACACAGGCCAGGGCTGAGAGAGGCTTTTTTGACAACTGAATATCAAAAAGTGAAAGGGCAAAAATACAGTAGTCTCCTCCTACAAGTCTGGGTGGTTTGATTCTGAATGTTAAGCAATTAAGAAAGAATACTCCAACGTGTCAGACACTCATAGGAAGATACTATTCAACCGGCTCTTAATTCTTTCTTAGCAAGCAAGCAACCTTCTGATTTTTAATTTGGCACCAGGCTAGAGCCCAGTGGGTTGCAATTCCTGGTTTAGACAGATTCCAGATTCTGGCCAGATATACATCTCCCACTATACATAGTTATTTTTAAATATATTTTTATTGATTTCAAAGAGGAAGGGAGAGGGAGAGATAGAAACATCAACGATAAGAGAGAATCATCAATCAGCTACCTCCTGCATGCCTCTCCCTGGGGATCGGGCCTGCAACCCGGGCACGTACTCTGATGGGGAATCGAACCTGTGACCTCCTGGTTCATAGGTTAATTCTCAACCAATGAGCCACACCGGCCGGGCTAAGTCGGTATTTTGACTTATAAACCTGTCCTTAGATCTTTGGGTTAATGTGATCTCTTTTCTCAAAAATTATCACTTCTGGGTAAACAATTTCTGAAAAATCAAATAATGACAAGGACCATATCGACCTGATCCTGCAGAGGCCACACCAAGATACACATCAGCAACAGGGCAGCCAGCCACCCTTTGTCTCTAAGACTCTATTTGGCTGGCACACATCAGTCAATTACTCTCCTAGCAGCGAAGGCATAAGACCCCACAGAATTCTCCAAACCATTCATTCCAAGAGAATCCTGAACTGAGTTTGTACTCTGATCCTCATCTGACCACCTGAAAGGTTGGACCAGGTGCCCGGTATGCCAAACTGAACCTCCAACATGGTCTAAATAAATGTAAGGTACTTCCTTGAAGACACTAGGCTCCTCAATTACTGAAAATACACAAGTAGAGGTTAGGATGATCATAAGCAAACCCTCTTACAAGTACCATCCCAACTATCCTGCTCTAACTCTTCTCAGAGCAACTCCCTTCCACCCAATGGGCCATGAGTCAGGAGACCTAGGATCTAGTCACAGTTCTGTCAGTAACTTGATATATAATCTTATACCTGTCATCCAACTTCTCAGTTCCCTTGTATGTAAAATGCTCACTGTGTATCCCCAGCAGGATTTCTAGCACACAGCACAGAGTCAGTAGGTATTTAATGAATTAACCAACACCAGCAAGATTACTTACAATAATTATTCAGAAAGCTATGTACTATGCAAATGTAACTGGTGTTCTAATCTTCCTAACTGCCAAATACTGGTATGAAAAAGGGCTGTGGCTGGCAGTAAAAATGAGATTTAGGCCTCTGGAAAAAAACTAAAGCTGACCAAAATTACAATTGGAAGGAAGAGCTGGCTGAACCACCAAAAATAGCTCAGATTAATTATGAACTACTAAGAAGCTTGTCAATGGCTGGGTAAGTTCTGATTCCAATAATTTAGTCAGAGCATGTTGTGTGCCACAGCTAGGTGCTGGGAATATAGTATATAACCAAGACATGCTACTCAAAAAGGGAGGAGGAGAGATATATAAGCAAATAAATAAAATATGATGTGATGAGTGTTATAATAGAAGCTTATATAAAGTGTTCAAGAAATATGGATGAAAAAGCAGAGCTGGATTAGGAATGGGAGAGTAGGCATGAAAATACAAAGTCAGGAGAACTCCATTAGCAATGTATGTTGGCAAGGAAAGAACTAGAGAAAAAGTCTGGTTTGCAAAATTATTAATGTACTGCCTCAATATTAAGTAAAACCATTCTATTAGGAAACAGGTCTCTAATACAGTGGGTGTGTGCATACCCAGGTGTGCACAGGATGGTCTACTGGGAGTAGAGAGACTGTACTAAATATTCTATTTATATTCTTTTTACTAAAATCAACAAGAAATCAATCTTTATGAATTTAATGTATGGATGGTTAACTGACACCTTATGAGGTTTCATGCCAGTATTTGAGATATCTGAGCAAAGAGTGATGCTCTATAACAAGAAGTTATAGATGCAAGTAAAGTTACATCATTTTTTTGTGTGTGGTAAAATATCCTATATAATAAAAGCCTAGGTGGTGTCATGCCCTGGCGCGATGTCACCACAAGATGGCCGCCCACACGTCATCACAAGATGGCTGCCACAAGATGGCCGGCAGGGGACAGCAGTTGTGGGCGATCAGGCTAGCAGGGGAGGGCAGTTGTGGGTGAGCAGGCCTACAGGGGAGGGCAGTTGGGGGCGACCAGGCTGGGAGGGGAGGGAAGTTGGGGGTGATCGGGCCAGCAGGGAAGCAGTAAGGCATCAATCAGGCCAGCAGAGAAGCGGTTAGGGGTTAGTCTGGCAGGCAGAAGTGGTTGGGGGCAATCAGGAAGGCAGGCAGGTGAGCAGTTAGAAGCCAGCAGTCCCGAATTGTGAGAGGGATGTCCGACTGCTGGGCCTAAACCGGCAGTTGGATATCCCCCAAGGGGTCCCAGATTGGAGAGGGTGCAGGCTGGGCTGAGGGACACTCCCCTCCCATGCACAAATTTCGTGCACCGGGCCTCTAGTATGTAACATAAATTTTCTATTTTAGCCATTCTTAAGTATTCACTGCATTAAGTACATTCATATCATTGTACAACTACACAAATTTTTAACTAAAGTATTCAAAAATGAGGAAGTGGCTTAAAAAATGCATTAAAGGCCCAGCCAGGTTGGCTCAGTGGTTGAGTGTCGACCTATGAACCAGGAGGTCACGGATTTGATTCCAGGTCCTGACAGGGCACATGCCTGGTTTGTGGGCTCAATCCCCAGTAGGGGGTGTGCAGGAGGCAGCCGATGAATGATTCTCTCTCATCATTGATGTTTCTATCTCTCTCTCCTTCTCCTTTCCTTTCTCTCTACAATCAATAAAAACATGTGTTTTTTTTTAAATTAAAGATAATACTAATAATGCAATCCTAAGTGAACAAAAGAATGGCAGAGCTAACACTTCCCCTAGTATTCTTATAGGCCTTCAGCCAGCATGAGGTCTTTAAAAATTAGTCTAATCAGATTTATAAAGATGAAACTTTCAAATTAAAAAGTATCAAGGTTATTCCAAATATAAATCCATATGGACTATCACTAAGTGCTAACTTCACCCTAAGTGTAAATGCACCACATGGGGAGTCGACAGATTATAGCCCTAGGGCTAAATCTAGCCCACTGCCCATTTCTATAAATAAACTTTTATTGTTTAGTAGAGACCCGGTGCACAAAATTCATGCACTCAGGGGGGTCCCTCAGCCTGGCCTGCGTCCTCTGGCAGTCTGGGAGCCCACGCAAGATGTCTGACTGACAGCTTAGGCCCATGGGGAGCGGGTCTAAGCCGTCAGTTGGACATCTTTAGCACTGCAGTGGAGGCGGGAGAGGCTCCCACCACTGCCGCTGCGCTCGCCAGCTGTGAGCCTGGCTTCTGGCTGAGCAGCGCTTCCCCTGTGGGAGTGCACTGACCACCAGGGGGCAGCTCCTGCATTGAGCGTCTGCCCTCTGGTGGTCATTGCACGTCATAGTGAGCAGTTGAGCAGCCTTAGCATATCATTAGCATATTACACTTTAATTGGTTGAATGGACAACTGGATGACCGGACACTTAGCATATTAGGCTTTTATTATATAGGATTTGTTACATATTGTCTAAGGCTGCTTTTGTGCTACAAAGGCAAAGCTAAGTATTAGAGACAGAGATCTTATGGCCTGCAAAGCCTCAAATATTTAAAATCTGATCCTTATAGGAAATTTGCTCACCCTGCTCTACATCATGCCTCTCAGGTATTCTTTCTTGCTATGATTGCCATGAAAATAAAATAAAAATTTAATTAACGGAACCTGGGACCAGTTCTTTGAATATCTGTTTCATTCAAAGTGTTAAGTGTGTCACTTTTTAAACTATCTCTTTGAACTCCACCCTTACCCTTTGTGAATTGGGACTGGAACT